TTAAAAAGCCCCCCCCTTTTTCCCAGAAACACCAATGGGTTACTAAACGATAACCACAAATTAATGAGTACTCTAAACACAGGACATCACAGTATCCATACCATACAAAACAGTGGTCTAACAAAATTACCAACAGGTAACCAGAAACTTAGTGAGTAAACAAAAACAGGACACCAGAGTATCCATTACTCACATACAAAACAGTGGTCTAACAAAATTACCAACCAGAGTAACCAGCAACTTAGTGAGTAAACAAAAACAGGACACCACAGTATCCATTACTCACATACAAAACAGTGGTCTAACAAAATTACCAACCAGAGTAACCAGCAACTTAGTGAGTAAACAAAAACAGGACACCACAGTGTCCATACTCACATACGGAAATATTCTCTCTCTCACAACAAACACAAGTGACTGGTTTTTATATAATGGGATGTGTGATTGAAAAAACGAGTAACAGGTGGTGCAATGCACAGGAATGTTCACTGATTGGTCCAATCAGCAGATATCTCAACGACCACCAATCAGGAACATAACAGGACACCTGTGATTAGGGCAGAAGGAGAGAAAAAACAACAGGACACAGGACACAGGATACCTGTATCCGTAACAGCAGATCTCCTCTAGAGCAGTGATGTTTTGGGGCTGTCGCTGGGCAACACAGACTTTCAAACTCCCTCCCAAAGATTTCCTATGGGGTTGAGATCTGGAGACTGGCTAGGCCACTCCAGGACCTTGAAATGCTTCTTACGAAGCCACTCCTTCGTTGCCCGGGCGGGTGTGTGTTTGGGATCATTGTCATGCTGAAAGACCCAGCCACGTTTCATCTTCAATGCCTTGCTGATGGAAGGAGGTTTGTCAATCAAAATCTCACGATACATGGCCCCATTCATTCTTTTCCTTTACACGGATCAGTCGTCCTGGTCCCTTTGCAGAAAAACAAGCCCCAAAGCATGATGTTTCCACCCCCCATGCTTCACCAGTAGGTATGGTGTTCTTTGGATGCAACTCAGCATTCTTTGTCCTCCAAACACGACGAGTTGAGTTGTTTTAACCAAAAAGTTCTATTTTGGTTTTCATCTGACCACATGGCATTCTCCCAATCCTCTTCTGGATCATCCAAATGCACTCTAGCAAACTTCAGACGGGCCTGGACATGTACTGGGCTTAAGCAGGGGGGACACGTCTGGCACTGCAGGATTTGAGTCCCTGGCGGCGTAGTGTGGTTACTGATGGTAGGCTTTGTTACTTTGGTCCCAGCTCTCTGCAGGTTCATTCACTAGGTCTCCCCGTGTGGTCTGGGATTTTTGCTGCACCGTTCTTGTGATCATTTTGACCCCACGGGGTGTGATCTTGCGTGGAGCCCCAGATCGAGGGAGATTATCAGTGGTCTTGTATGTCTTCCATTTCCTAATAATTGCTCCCACAGTTGATTTCTTCAAAACCAAGCTGCGTACCTATTGTAGATTCAGTCTTCCCAGCCTGGTGCAGGTCTACAATTTTGTTTCTGGTGTCCTTTGACAGCTCTTTGGTCTTGGCCATAGTGGAGTTTGGTTTGTGACTGTTTGAGGTTGTGGACAGGTGTCTTTTATACTGATAACAAGTTCAAACTGGTGCCATTAATACAGGGTAACGAGTGAAGGGACAGAGGAGCCTCTTAAAGAATAAGTTACAGGTTATGTGAGAGCCAGAAATCTTGTCTTTGTTTGTAGGTGACCAATACTTATTTTCCACCATAATTTGCAAATTAATTCATAAAAAATCCTACAATGTGATTTTCTGGAGAAAAAAATCTCAATTTGTCTGTCATAGTTGACGTGTACCTATGATGAAAATTACAGGCCTCTCTCAGTCTTTTTAAGTGGGAGAACTTGCACAATTGGTGGCTGACTAAATACTTTTTTTCCCCCACTGTATTATGTGGACTTGTTAAGCACATTTCTACTCTTGAACTTACAGTATTTTCGGCTTGCCATAATAAGGGGCAGTGGTGGAAAAAGTACTCAGTTGTCATACTTGAGTAAAAGTAAAGATACCTTAATTGAAAATGACTCAAGTAAAAGTGAAAGTCACCCAGTAAAATACTTACTTGAGTAAAAGTCTAAAAGTATTTGGTTTTAAATACGCTTAAGTACCAAAAGTAAATGGAATTGCTAAAATGTACTTAAGTATCAAAGTAAAAGTAATAGTAATAAACCATTTCAAATTCCTTATACTACGCAAACCAGACAGCACCATTTTCTTGTTTTATTTTTTATTGATGGATAGCCAGGGCACACTCCAACACTCCAACATAATTTACAAACGAACCATTTGTGTTAAGTGAGTCTACCAGATCAGAGGCAGTATGAATGACCAGGGATGTTCTCTTGATAAGTGGGTGAATTGGACAATTTTCCTGTCAAAATGTAATGAGTACTTGTGGGTGTCAGGGAAAATGTAATGGAGTAAAAAAGTATATATTTTTTTAGGAATGTAGTGAGTAAAAGTAAAAGTTTTGGGGAAAAATTTAATATTTAAAATTAAAATACTGTCACCCGGGAAACAGCCGGGCTGCCCCCTCCCCCCTTGCTCGGGGGGGGGCTTCGCGTTTTGGGGCCTCCCCGGAGTACGCCCCGCCAAAAATCTTTTGTTTGGGGTTTGACCTTGTTTTGGGCCCGATTTTTTGTCCCCCTGGGTTTTTCCCATTACGTTTTTTTTTTATTGATTTTTTAAAATTTTAAAACCCTCTTTTTTTCGTTCCTTTTTTGTGTTTTTTGGTTATTTTTTTTGGGGATTCGCATCGGCCCTTGTTCGTGTGGGGGGTTGGGTTTTTTTTTTTCCTCCTTGTTTTGGAGATTGGTTTTCCCCCCTCCCGGTTTTCTTTTAAAATAAAAATATGTTTTTCCTAAGCCCCTGTGGCCCCCCGTTTTTACTTTTACCCACCGCATTTCCCCTCACCCCCTTTCCCTTCCCGACAGAAAAACCACCTTTCGACGGAAATCAGCAGGTCGTCCGCCCCCCAAAAGGGGGGCACCCGGAGGAGGGGGTGTAAAACCCCCCCAAAAAGGCCCCTGGGTTTCCCCACCTTGGGGGACCACCCAAAACCAAGGGTTTATGGACAGCTTTTAAAAGGGGATGGGAGAGTGGGGGTTTGGCCCCCCCAAAACCTTTATCCTACGGGTTCCCCCCCCCCACCATCAGCCCCTTCCTTCGGTTCCCCCTCTCCGGGGGTCCAGTGGGGTTCGGCTCACCCCTCCCGAAAGGGGTTTTTTTGAAGGGCAAACCCGGCCCCCGGGGGTCAGGGGTTTTTTTATACTCCCGGTTGAAATTTTACTTCACCCCTTCATTCCCCGCCCCCCAAAATAAAGAAAAGCGTTTCCGCCCCCATCTTTTCCCGGGCCCCGTCCGGGCAAGGCCCCTGGAAGGGCCAAAAGCCCCAAAAGGGGTGGGATGAACGCCGCCCCGGTTTAGCTATGCGGAATTCCTCCGCCGCTTTTTGGGGGCCAAATATTTGATCATCCCCCAAAGGGTAAAACGGCGGGTTTTACCCTCTATTCCACCTTAGACGGGGAGGGGGGGGGGGGGGGAAACGTGGGGAAAGGGGGTTTGCTCCGGGACTTCCCGGGCCTAAACTGCCAACACGGGGGGTGGAAAGAGAGGGCCCCCCCATCACCATAAAAGATGCAGCCGAGGGGGACGTGCATCGGGAAAATTTTTCCCCGCAGGACAACCAACCCCCCAGCTTTGAAACCCAACCCGGTGGACTGGCGATTTTGCCCTTTGGGAAAAACCCCTTTTTGGGAAACCCCCCCCGGGGCCGCCCCGGATTCGGGGGGGCCGGGCCCCTTTCCCATCCCCCCCCGCAAAATTCCGACCGAAACCCCCCATGGAAACTCGGGGGTGGGTTGGGTGCCCAGGGGGGACCCGGGGG